TGTCCCTGCTCCCCAGCCCTGGGATGGGTCTGTCCCTGCTCCCCAGCTTGTTCAGCTGTTTTTCATCCTCGTTGGTGGTTTTGGAGGGGTTGAGCTCCCCCAGTGCCCCCCAGTGCTGTGCTGTGCTGTGGTTTCATGCTCTCCCCCATTCCCCAGGGCGCCTGAACTGGTGGGTGACGGTGGATCCCAGTTGCCAGCGGCTGCTGCCCCTGGCCACCACCGGCGACGGGAACTGCCTTCTCCACGCTGCCTCCCTGGGTAAGGCTGGGCTTAATCCACGGGGAAACAACCAACTGACCCCGGGGGCAGAGCCCAGGTGGGAGCAGGACTGAGCATCTCCCATCCATTCCCATGGGAAACGGGGATGCTGCTGCTCCTCCCGGCCACGGCGGGGTCAGTGCATGAGCAGTCGTGGGGCTCAGGCTCTATGAGAGCGGCATGGGTTGAAGGGAAGGGGCTGCCAGCAGCTTGTGTGCTCCTCACATCCCTCTCCCTGTCCGTCTGGCAAGTTTCCCCAGAATCCTGAAGGAAATGTGGGATAACGGAGCCACCCCTTCCCTCCTCCGGCACGTCCGCACGGGCCGCGGGATCTCAGCGGGTTGGAGGGTGTGATACCAACCCCTCCTGATCCTCCTCTCCATCCTTCCCCCTGCAGGAATGTGGGGCTTCCACGACCGGGATCTCATGCTGCGGAAATCCCTCTACACCCTGATGGACAAGGGAGCGGAGCGGGAGGCGCTGAGGCGGAGGTGGCGCTGGCAGCAGACGCAGCAGAACAAGGAGGTGGGAGCCCACTGAGCGTCGGTTTGGGCCCTCTTTGCCAAGGAGAAAGTCCTGGGAAAACACCCCCGTGGGTTTGGGAGGCGCTTTCCTGTCAGGTGTGGAATTTTGGGTGCCCCCGGTGAGCTGCGTCAAACTGAGAGGGGCTTGGGACGAGTGACAGGGCAGGGGAACGGGTTTAAATTAAAACAGGGCAAGTTTGGGGTAGTACTGGGGAGAAATTCTTCCCTGTGAGGGTGGTGAGGCCCTGGCACAGGTTGCCCAGGGAAGTGTTGGAGTGTTTCATCCCTGGAGTGTTCAAGGCTGGGTTGGACAGCACTTGGAGCAACCTGGACTAGGGGGAGGTGTCCCTGCTGTGAAGGGGATGAACTTTAATGTCCTTCCCAAGCTGCTGCCTTGAGGAAAGGTGGATTTCCTGAAGCCAACCCTTGAAGCAGGCTTTAGACATTTGTGCCATTGGACCAAACCAACATATCCTGTGGCTAAAGCCTGGTGGGATGGAGGTGCCCTCAGGGCTGTGCCACTTTCAGGGATGTGCTGCGGAACGCGTTGATTATTTTTGCATAAATCCGTAGAGAAAAGTTGTGCCGTGGGTATAAACCAGCGCTGGAGCGACTGGGGAGAGATTTCCTTGGAGGATTTTGGGTTCTCTTTGCCCTTTTTTTCAGTCTGGGCTGGTGTACACGGAGGAGGAGTGGCAGAAGGAGTGGAACGAGCTGATCAAGTTGGCGTCCAGCGAGCCCCGCGTGCACTACGGCACCAACGGCGGCGGCTGCGGCGGGTGCGTGAGTGCCCAGAGGCAACAACACGGCCAGGGGGAAAACAGGGAGTGTCCTCCCTCAGGGCACAGCTCAGGGTGGTGCCCCAGGGCACAGGACAGGGCTGGGAGGCCGTGTTGGGTCGGCTCGTGGGGGTTTTGGGGGTAAAAGGAAGGATCACGAGGAAACACGAGGCCCACAGAGCATCTGAGGAAAGGATTTCGGTGCTGCGCGGCCTCTTCTGTGGGGCAGCACATGGATTGAACAGGGAATGCATCTTTTCCTTGTGTTTCCTCATGTTGCTGGCTCCGAAATGAGGGAATAACCCAGAGCTGAGAGTTTCTGCCTCTCGCTCTGTTTCAAGGGCACTTAATTGCTGCAGCCGTCCTGGCAGCTCCTACCTGGGAGGCCCCTTAGATAAGGGACTCCCAGCAGTGCCAGGCAGCAGCTGGGCGTTTCCTGGGCACAAACCCTTGCCTTGGAGCAGGACATTTTAGGGATCCACATCTAAAACCCCAAATTAGCGCCGAGATCAACCTTTAGTGCTGTCGATCCACCTCTTCGTGGCTGCCTCTGAAACCTCCTCCTGGTGTTACAAAACGATGATTGAATATCCAGAGGGTGAAATTCTTCTTCCCCAAGGGTGGAGAGCTCAGAAGAGCCGGTGTATGAGAGCCTGGAGGAGTTCCACGTCTTTGTCCTGGCCCACGTGCTGAAGAGACCCATCGTGGTGGTGGCAGACACGATGCTGCGGGACTCGGGGGGCGAAGGTGAGACCTGCCCTCTCTTCCCAAAGCCTCTCTGACCTCTCAGAGTCCACGTTTCCTCTCAATCCCATGTTTTCACAAGGGCTCTTTACCCCCAAGGCCAGGTCTGGAGTCAGGAGCAGCACATGGGCCACGTTCACCTGCTACAGGTGAACCCCTGGAAGGGCCCAGGCCCAGCTCAGCTCCCACCCCTGTTTCTGCTGCTTTAAGAGCATCCCCAGGAGGATTTTTCTTTTTTTCTACCTCTTTTGCCCCCCACACACATGTAGAGATGGGAAATTCTGTTCCCTGCATGGTGGATTTTCCACCATCAGCTTCAGTTCCCTGTCAGAGAAGGTCAATCGTTTTCCATCACTCCGTGGGCAAAGTTTGTCTTGTGGGGGAGTGAAGAGGGGGGTTTTTCGTGGAAAATAGCAGTTCATTCTGCATTTTCCACCCTCCTGATGTAAAATAAATGTCTAGTTTGGGTTGTGGTTTTGTTTAGTGTCCCTTGAGATGATGGATAATTGCAGGTGAGACCTCGACTGAGGCAAACAGCACATTCTGGAGCATTTGTGGCACAAACAACTCTGAACTCTTGAACCTGTGATCAGAACTAACCGCCCTGGTTTCTTCCCAGCATTTGCCCCGATTCCCTTTGGAGGGATCTATCTGCCCCTGGAAGTCCCAGCCAACAAATGCCACCGGTCTCCATTGGTTCTGGCTTATGACCAAGCCCATTTTTCTGCCCTGGTCTCCATGGAGCAGAAGGAAAACACAAAGGATCAAGGTAGGGGATGAGATCCAGGTGAAAAAAGCACTGAAAGAGTCCTGTGGAGGAGGATTTGGGGGAGCTGGGGGGGAAAAGCTGGGCAGGACCCGGCAACATGCACCAGCAGCCCAGGAAACCAACAGTGTCCTGACCTTGGAGCTCTTCCAGTGCCTAAAGGGCCTCCAGGAGCTGAAGAGGGACTTGGGGCAAGGACATGGAGTGACTAGACAAGGGGCAATGGCTTCCCACTGACAAAGGGCAGGGTTGGATGGGATATTGGGAAGAAATTCCTCCCTGTGAGGGTGGGGAGGCCCTGGCACAGGTTGCCCAGAGAAGCTGTGGCTGCCCCTGGATCCCTGGAAGTGTCCAAGGCCAGGTTGGACAGGGATTGGAGCAACCTGGGCTAGTGGAAGGTGTCCCTGCCCGTGGCTGGGGGTGGGACTGGATGGGCTTTAAGGTCCTTCCACCCCAAACCTTTCCATGATGCTCTGACGATTCCATGATCCCAGGCACTGGCAGTCACTGGGATTTGCTGTGATGCTGCTCCCATCAGAAAGGTGGGCTGTGAGTGTGGGATATTTGTCCTTTTGGGCTGTAAACGTGGTGTTTCTGTCCCGGGGCAGCCGTGATCCCTCTGACGGACTCGGAGCACAAGCTGCTCCCGGTGCACTTCGCTGTGGATCCCGGGAAGGAGTGGCAGTGGGGGAAGGACGACAGTGACAACGTCAAGCTGGCCAGGTTGGTGATCCATAGGGAATCCAGGGTGGAGATCCATAGGGAATCTGGGTTGGTGATCCACAGAGCAGAGTGATCAGGGCTGGAGGGGTCAGCCCTGACCCCAGCTGGGATTTCTTGTGCTGGATGGAGGTTGGGCCTAGGGGATGACACTGCTCGTGGGGATGGAGCAGCTTTTCCTTCATTCTCCTTCACTTTGGTACGTTTTGGGTGGGGCTGTGACATCTCCTGAGCTTCCTTCCCACACGGTAAAGAGATGATGCTCCAGGTCCTGGAGCTCCAGGCTGGGTGTAGCAGTGGAGGATCTTCCATCATATTTCCACAAAAAAGGTGTATTTTGCCATTCCCCACCAAATCCCTGTGCCGTGGGCCCCTGGAGAGAGGAGGGTGGTGGCCACCAGACCCTGCCTGGCTTGGGTTGGACTTTGGGCAGGTCTCACCATGGTTTGGTCCCAGCAGTTGCTGTTGCTGAGGCGGAAGAAGCGTTTTAATTCCGACACTCGAGAATCTGATTTCTGCCTTTGGTGTTCTACTGAACAGTTTGGAAAGCTGCAAAAACACAGGGAATAATGTAAATACGGGGGGGACCCAGGTGGGAATTGGAAACTGGGCTCTAACTTGTGTTTCCCTCCCCACCCCGTGGTGACACCAGTGTGACGCTGTCGCTGGAGGCCAAGCTGCACCTGCTGCACAGCTACATGAATGTGAGGTGGATCACGTTGCCTTGTGACACGCAGGTAAAGGGACCAGGGGGATCTTCTTTACCTGTGAATTATTTAACCCTCCTCTCCGCAGGGCAGCCGGTGTGGGGCCTCACCTGGGGGGCTCTGCCCGCCGGATTTGCAGCTGGTTCTGCTCTGAGCGGGGAAGTGACTCGGTTTGGTGGGTGTGCACCTCTTTCTCAGAGCTTTCCATGCCCCTTTTCACTCTTCACACCACCCAGAAGCCCCTGTGCCCCTCAGGGCAGGGAAGGGGATGCTCTGTGCTCCAAACAAACAGGAGCTGTTGGTTTACACCCACCTCGAGACTGGGACCAAGTATCTTCCCCCCTCTTCACTGGCTTTGCCCTTGAAACCTCGAGCCAGTGGAGATATTACAGAACCCCAGAATAGAGTCACCAAATCATAGAATAAAATCATAAAGTCCCAGAATATCCCAGGTTGGAAGGGTGCCACGGGGACATCTGTGGGCGTGCAGGGCAGCATCGCTCGGTGTCTGAACATCATCCCCTCCGTGCTCCAAGCAACATCACCTCCTCTACTTGACCTTCCGCGTGAAAATCCTTACCCAAGGCATTCCTAGGGTTTGATATTTGGCTTTCCTTCTTCCCCAGGCACCTCTGGCCCAGCCGGAATCCCCCACGGCCTCCGCGGGGGACGACGCTCGTTCGGCGGCAGAGTCGGGCGAGTCGGACAAGGAGTCGGTGTGCAGCAGCTCCGCCAGCAACGGGGGCGTGAGGGCAGGCAAGGACAGGGAGAAACCAAAGAAAGAGCGGGAAAAGGAGAAGGAAAAGGATAAGAAACGGGCAGACTCGGTGGCCAACAAGCTGGGAAGCTTCGGCAAGACTCTGGGCAGCAAGCTAAAAAAGAACATGGGGGGCTTGATGCACGGCAAGGCCGTGAAGGGCGGCCTGAGCAACGGGCAGGGGGACACCCTGGAGAAGAAGAAGAAAGGGTCCCTGAAGGCACGGAAAGGCAGCAAAGAGGAGTGTTCCCCGGGAGACTTGGCAGCTCCCGTGGAGAAGGCGTGCCCGGGGAAAGCGGCCCCGGAGAAGGCGCCGGATCCCTCCAAGTACAGCAGCGACGTGCGGCTGAGCCTGAGCATCCTGCGCGCGGCCATGCAGGGCGAGCGCAAGTTCATCTTCGCCGGCCACCTCAAGACCAGCACCCGGCACCAGTTCCAGGAGGAGATGATCCAGAGGTACCTCCTGGACGCCGAGGAGCGCTTCCTGGCCGAGCAGAGGCAGAAGGAGGCGGAGAAGAAGGCGCTGGGCAGCGCTGCCCCGGCCAAGAAGCCGGAGGGGGAGGCGGGCGCCAACCGGGGCGAGGAGGCGATGCCAGGCCCCGTGTTCCCCCAGCTGCCCCCCGCCTACCCCTCCCAGCCCCTGGAGCCGGCCCTGGGCGCTAAAATAGCCGCTTTTCCCCCGGGCTATTCCGGCGTTTTCACCTTCCCCAGGCCCTCCGTGGGCAGCGCGGAGGGGCCGCACCCCCCCGGGTGCCCCGAGGGCCGGAGGCAGCTGGCGGGGGGGCCCTGCGGGAGCCTCCCCCCCTACGCCACCCTGCCCCGGCACCACCAGGCCCGGCCCGGCCCCCCTGGCCCTGCCCACCCGGGCAGGTTCTCCCCCACGGACATGGACATCCAGCCCCCCTTCCCGCCGGAGTGCGAGGGCTCCAACTGCCTCCCCCCACACAGCAACGGCTGCCGGGAATTCCTGGAGCAGGACAAGGGGGGAACGGCGGATAAAACGAGGGGCCGAGCCCTCTACAACATCCAGCAGACCAAGTGCAAACAGCCCAACTGCAGCTTTTATGGACACCCGGAGACTGGGAATTTCTGTTCCTGCTGTTACAAGGAGGAGCTGCGGCGCCGGGAGCGGGAGGCGCTGGTGCACAGGTTCTGACGCTCCCCCCCCACCCCCCGTGCGGATCTGGGACCCCTGGAACACGGGGAATGCAATAATATAGATCCATTATGGTTTTATACACCCCCCCGCTCCCCTTCCCGGGAGCGGGCGATCGTGGGATTGGGCTGGTGGGATGGAGGGGGCTGCAGGAGGGAGAGGGCAGGGGAAAACCAGCCCTCGCTTTCCCGGAGCCCCTGCGAGGGAGGAGGAGGATTCCCAGGGATGGCCTGGGACGGCGGGGGCTGCTCGGGTCGGAGCACAGGGTGAGGGGGGAGAATTCCTCAAAAACTCAATAAACCAGACCAAAGCTTTGGGAGCTGGGGGGGGAATGAGGGGGGGGCAGCCCCCGCCGGGTCCTTCCCGTCGCCCCCGACCGCCCGGGACGGAGCGAAAACGCCCCGGTTGGAGCGTCACAAACCTTTTAATGGAGTTTTTTAACACTGGTTTTATTCTGTATTTCTTCTTGCTGGTACTGAGCGACGGTCGGAGTTGGACACTGGTGGGGTGGGGTGGGTCGGACTCCCCCTGCCCGGCCCCGGGATGGCTCCGAGCGCTGGGAGGGCGGGCTCGGGCTCTGCCCCTCCGTGGGCTCTGCTCTCCCCCACGGGCTCTTCCCCCGCCCCTGACGGGCTCAGCTCTGGTTTTAAAACGCTCTTTTTAAACACTTCCTGGGGCAGGGGGAGCTCCCAGCGCTCCAGGGGTTGGAGCTTTATTTTTTCCGTGTGGAAGCCCCAACCCGCGGGAGAACCGAAGGTCGGAGTCTCCTGGCAGGAATTCCCGCCGGCGTGGGGCAGATCCCCCCAGGGCAGGAGGGGATCAATCCGGGGGGGTCGCATAACTCCGTACTTGAGCACAGCTACTCTGTACTACCTCTGATCCCGATTAACTCGGCTCCGTTGTGCTGAGCCACCAACTGACCTTTAGGCTGCGGAATTAATCCATATTTTTGATAACAGGGCTAAAAAGCGGAACAATAAGGTAAAATCCTCCCGTGACTAATGTCCCACGGCATTCCCAGCCCCATCCCGGCCCCCCCCTCACCCCCCTGCCAGCTCCCAGGGTGGGATTCACTTTAGCACTGCGATGTTTGCACAGAATTCCTTGGGTTTTTTGGTAACTGCAGCTCCCAAACCGGCCCCAAGTCCTGCACAGAGCGAGGTGCAGCGTTTCCCATCACATGGAAATAAAACAGGAGTTCTACCCGTCAGCCCGAGCTTTACAACATTCCCTTGTTTTTATTTTGGGGTTTGTTTTTCCAGAAGGCACCAAACTATGCAACCCCTTCTCCCGAGCTGCTCCTGCCTGTGGCCCTTCCTGGGAGAAGGGATAGGGGATGGGCTGGAGGAGCTGGAAGGGTGCTGAGCTCGAGGCTCACCTGACACCTTATGCTCGGCCCTACAAATGTTAACTTAGACCTAAAACCCCCCCGAATTAAGGCCTTTCCTACACCTAAACCCCCCAGATTAAGGCCTTTCCGAGTGGCATCCCAACACTTTGAATCCACCCAACAACCCTCCTTTGCCCACGAATTTTCAAATCCAAATTTCAAATGCCCCGGGGATGGTTTGACTCCAGTTTTAAGTCGTTTCCCCTGGTTTTATGAAATCCCCGAGCGTGGCTGAAGCTGCGGGATGCAGTCGGAGCTCCCGGGGGTCACTCCCTGGCTCCTCTGGCCTCGGAATAAATGCCAGAGAGTGCAGTTTTTCCCTCAAACTGCAGGAATTCCGATGGACTTTACCCCCAGGGCAGGGATGTGCCACAGGCTCTGCCCCTGCTTGGTTCACCCTGGATTTTGAGCCGAGATGGTTTAAAACCAAACCAAACCTTCAACTATTGTGTGGGCACCTGGGTTTAAGTTCCAGTTTCCCACATTCATTTTTCCCAAAATCAGAGCAGCAGCTTTATTTTGGGGTTGGGAATATCCTCCAGCTGTGCCAGGAGCTGCAGGAGCAGGGGTCCCCCAGGGCACAGGGGGGAAGGCGGGAGGTGACACTTCGCTGGTTCCTCAGGTTTTGGGAGAATTTCTCTGCAATTTGGTTAAATCCATCCCGATGGATGCTGGCTTTGGGTGGGGGTGGGAAGCGCCCGGACCCGCTCGCTGCTTTATTGGGTTTGGGGGGGAGGGAGAGAGAGGGAAAATGCAGAAAACCTGGAGGAAAAGCACCAAACCTGCCCCGGGGAGGGATTTTTCCACGGGGATGGGGACAGGGAGGCTGCAATGTGACCCCAAGGTCAAACTAAGTGCACTTACTGGTGTGGTTGGCATTCAAATCGCTGCCATCGGATCCTGGTGGAAGAAAACTTTGTCTTTCAGGGTGTGTAAAACCCGTTCTTGGGATTTTCTTTGATTTTATTAAATGAGATTCACCTTCGCCGCTCCCCGGCCCCCTCGGCAGGGGAGGTCGGGGCAGCTTTGGGTCTCACTAACGCCGAGTGACCTGAATTAATTCTGCAGTGGTTTATTCACAAAAAAAAAAACAACAACAAAAAACCAACCTTTTTTTTATTATTATTATTATTATTAATTCCGTATTAATTGGTGATATTTGGCCTCCTGGTGAGCAGGGCTGGAGCGGCGCGGTCGGGCTGTACCTGCGGCCTCGTTGTGCTGCCACGGACTCACTGACAATAAAAACCTTCAGCTGATGCACCCGGGCAGTGCTGAGGCTCCTTCCTCCCCTCACCCCTCCTGGGGACCCCAATTCCCTCCTGGGGCTGCTCCTCATCCCCTTCTCCATCCCCAAAACAGCTGATGCACCTGGGCAGCGCTGAGGCTCCTTCCTCCCCTCACGCTGGGGGTCCCCAATTCCCTCCCTGGGGCTGTTCCTCATCCCCTCCTCCATCCAATTATTGGGATTTTGGGCTTTTTTTTTGTCCACTGAGGAGCACAGTGTCCTCTCTCCTGGGGAGCGGGTAAGTTCCCCTTCTATTTCCTTCTGTTCCATTTATTCTGTGATTCCATTTCTGTACCAATTCTGGGCTTTGATTTTAAAAAGAACCCCGTAACCACCCCTCCCTCCCGTTTCTGTCTGTCCTCACTGATCGTGGAGCCTTTTCCCCAACTGCATCCCAAGGAGAAACCCGAGGGATGCTCCGGTTCTTGACCCCAGCCTCAGGATAAAACTCAGGGATAAAATCCAGCTGCCTCCCAACATGGGCTGTTCAAACACTGAAGCTTTAAATGGGTTCAGAAAGAGGAAAACGGGGCTTGGGGGTGGTTGGAGATGGACCGCGGGAGGTGGGACCCTGGGCACGGCTTCCTGTGGGATTTCTGTGCACTGGGATTTTCTCTCCCAGCTCCTGGTGTTTTCCCTTCCTCCCGGTGTCGCCAGTGGCCGCTCCGTGCCCGGTGCCACGTCTGTGCAGGACGATTTTCCTCCAGGATTTTTTCTGCTGGGGCGGCCCGGGCTGACCCCGCGCTGGCAGTGGAGCAGCTCCCGGCTCAAAGCCTCCAGGAAATTCCTCTCATCTGCCAGGTGCCGGAGCTAAAATCCCATCCAAGCCCCCGGGGATCCTCTGCCAGGTGATTCTCCTGCAGGAGGAAAACTGGGGCACACGAGCTGCAGCCCCCGAGGCTGGGGCTGCCCCAAAAATCTGGGGGGAAATACACCAAAAATGGGATTTGGAGCTCCAAATGTGCTCCGGTGGGTTTTCCACAAGCCCGGGTTGTGTCAGGATTTATATCCCCGTGTGCTGGTGCTGCTGCCTTGGCTCCCTTGGGGTTTGGGGGGCCCGGGGGTCTCGTGGCACTTAGGGGGTGGCACAAGTGGCCCCAGGGCCACCATCCACCTGCCGCCGGGTGCGGGGTCAGAGCCCCGGGGGTCGGCGAGGCGGGGGCCCGGCTCGGGAGCCGCTGTTCCAGCTAGGAGGAGAAGGCTCCGTGCTTGGGCCGTGAGTCACCGCGCTCCGCCCGGCCCCGGGAGAGGCCCCGGGGCCCCCCCGAGACGCTGCGGGGACGGGACGGGGTTTGGGGGTTCCCCTGCCCGGGGCAGCGCTTATGGGGGGCCGGGGCTTGGGGACCCCAGGACCGCCCGTCCCTGGCGGGGTCCCCGGGGCTGCGGGGACCCCAGAACGGCCCATCCCGGGACGGGGTCCCCAGGGCTGTACCCCTCCACCGTCCGCCTGGGCTCTCCCCGCTTTCCCCCCGCCGGGACCGGGCGCTGGGATGGCGGGGGCGGGATGCCGGGAGCGGAAGGGTCGGGATGTCGGGATGCGTGGAATCCCGAGCCCCGGGGGGGGGCGGGATGCCGGGGCAGGGATGCCGGGGGAGGGCGGGATGCCGGGGTGAGGGGCGGGATGCCGGGGCCGGGCCGGGCGCTCCGGGCTCCCTCCCGGCCGCTCCGGCCCCGCCACTCCGGGCCCGCCCGGCCAAAGTCCCTGCGCCATGAACGGGGCCCCGGGCGGGCGCCGCCCGGTCTTCCCCGGGCTCCCAGGTAGGGCCGGGGCCGGGGCCGGGGGGTCCGGGGGTCCCAGTGGGGTTCGGGGGGCTCGGGGCCCTCGGAGCCCCGGACCCAGTGCCGGTCCCCGCAGGGGAGCGGGTGCTGGAGGAGGCGGCGGGCGCCCGGCAGCGCTGCGGGGACGGCGGCGGCTCCGTCCCGGGAACGCTGCTCTGCACCAACCGCCGCCTCGCCTTCCTGCCCGGCCAGGTGCGACGGGAACGCCGGGAATACCGGGAACGGGACCGCGGGGCCCCGCGCCACCCCACCGGCAGCCCGACCCCATCCCACCGCATCCCTGTCCCATCCCGACCCCATCCCACCGCACCCCGACCGTCAGGCCGCCCCTTCCCACCCCATCCCCGACCCCCATCCCAGCTTCACTCCAAACCCATCCTGCCCCCCATCCCGCCCCCCATCCCGGTTGCACCTACACCCCCTGCCAGCTCCACCTCAGTCCCATTCCAGCTCCATCCCAACCCCATCCCAGCTCCGTCGCGGCCCCATCCCAACCCCATCCCAGCCCACCCCGGCCGATCGACCGCGGAACCGCCGTGTTCGCCCTGGGAGCTCCTCGCAGCAGGACGGTGTGGGGGACAAGGAACAAGGAATGAGGGACACGGGACAGCCGTAGGGCCCCGATCCATCCCCACCACCCTTCCTGGGATCGGGGGGGACACTCCGGGGCAGCTTCCAGCCCTCCCTGCTCTCCCACAGGCCCCCGGCTCCCACAGCCTCCTCCGCTCCGAGGACGAGGTGGCCCTGCCCTGCATCCGTGAGCTGGTGGCAGGTAACAGGACACCGCGGGGCACGTGTGATGAGCTGGGCAGGTCTCGGCTCTCAGCCCTGTGTGATGAGCTGGGCGGGTCTCAGCTCTCAGCCCTGTGTGATGAGCTGGGCAGGTCTCAGCTGGCCCTCACAGCCTCCCCCTCCCCGTGTTCCCCCAGCCAGCAGCTTCTCCAAGCCCAAGGTGCTCACGGCCACCTCCACTCTCAAGTTCATCCCCGAGGAACTCGCCGTGTTCTGCCGGGATTTCCGCCTGCTCCGCTTCTACTTCCCCGAGAACGGGTTGGCTCTGCAGGCGTTCCGGGTGAGCTGGGGAGGGGGGAGTGCAGAAGTGTTGGACCCTCACTCTGGGTTCGGGGGGGGCTTGGGGGGCTCACACCCCACCCCGGCTGCCCTCGCAGGTGGCCAATGCCATCGCCCAGGCACGGGAAGCAGCCGCGCGGCCGGGGGACACCATTGAGGGACACGATGGCTGGTCCTGCCCTGCCGAGACCCCCCCGGAGGAAGAGGAGGATGATGAGGAGGGCGATGAGGAGGAGGAAGGCCTGGGTCCCACGCTGCTCTTTGAGAGCCTGCGGGACTGGGAGAAGGAGCTGGAGCGTCTGGGTGCCGTGGGCTGGAGGGTGAGCGCCGTCAACGAGCGCTTCGACATGGCCCCCAGGTATGACCCTGCCGGGCACGGGGGTCCCTGGGCCCCCCAACACTCAGGGGGGTGTCACAGCATGGCCCTCCCAACCCCCCCAGAGGGATCAGCCACGTAGGGCTGTGGGGAAACCCTCCCTCCGTCTGCCCCTGTGGTTTGGGGAAAACACCCCCTGAGCCACTGGAAATGGCATCCGTGGTTTGGGGGGACCCCACCCTGTGCCCCCCTGCCCGCAGCCTCCCCCGGTACCTGTGGGTGCCCAGTGGGCTCCTGGACCACGACCTCAAGCGAACCTTCGGCCACTTCCAGGAGCGCCGGGTGCCCGTGAGTGCCCAGGGGGGCCGTGGGGGGGTGGGCAGGGGGCCTGGGAGGTGATGTTGGGGGGGGTCACCCTGTTTGTCCCACAGCGCCTGTGCTGGCACCACCCGGGCGGGGGGGACCTGCTGAGAGCCGCCGGCTTCCACCCGGCCTCGGAGCCGGGCAGTGAGGACGTGAGGTGGGTTCCAGGGGGTCTGGGGGGGGTGGCTGGGGGTGTCACCCCGGCCTGGCCCCACCTGAGGGTCCCTGTGCCCCCCAGGTGCCTGGAGATGCTGCTGCTGGGGGGCCGTGGGCCCTGTGTTCTGGCCGACACGGCCGAGCTGCCCTCGCCCGCCGACATCCAGCTCGCCCACCTCAAGCTGCGGGCGCTCTGCCTGCCCGGTGAGCGGCACGGGGGGGGCCCCCGGGGACCCCCACACCCACCAGGGGGAAGGGGGGACTGGGAGACCCTGCTGACCCCTCATCCTGTGGGATCCAGGCGCGGTGGTGGAGGAGAAGTGGCTCTCGGCCCTGGAGGGGACGCGCTGGCTGGACCACGTCCGGTGAGTGGGTGACAAGGAGGGGCTCTTCGGGGTGCAGGGGGGTATTTTGGGGTGTAGGGGGGATATTCCCCTAGAACCCCACTCCCCACAGTGGGATGTCCCCCTCCAGGGGGCTGTGGGGCAATTGGGGGTACTGTAGTGTGTGCGTGAGCCCCCCAGGGTGGGCTGCAGCCCCCCCGGGCAGGTGACTGTGGCATTTTAGGGTGCCCTGACCTCCCCCTTTTGCCGCCCAGCACCTGCCTGAGGAAAGCCGTGGAGGTGGTATCGCTGCTGGCGGGGAAACGCTGCTCCGTGGTCCTGCAAGGTGGGGGCAACGAGAGGGGGGTGCAAGGGGATGGAAAGGGGACCCCCCCTCACCACCTCACCCCCCAGAGCCCTCGGACCGGGACCTGAACTGCCTGCTGGCCTCGCTGGTGCAGCTCCTGGGGGACCCCCACGCCCGCTCCTTGCCCGGCTTCCAGAGCCTGGTGCAGCGGGAGTGGGTGGCAGCCGGACACCCCTTCCCGCGCCGCCTGGGGCTGCTCCGCAGGGACACCCCCCGCGAGGAGGTGAGACCCCCATCCCTGTCCCCACGGGGTGCCAGGAGCCAGGACCCCCCTCGGGAGGAGGTGAGATCCCCTCATTCCCGTCCCCATGGGGTGACAAGAGCCAGGACCCCCCTTGGTTAGGACGAGGTGAGACCACCCCCCATCCCCATCCCTATGGGGTGACAGGAGCCATGACCCCCCTCGGGAGGAGGTGAGATCCCCATCCCCATGGGGTGACAGGAGTGTCCCCCCCGCAGGCCCCCGTGTTCCTGCTGTTCCTGGACTGCACGTGGCAGCTCCTGCGGCAATTCCCGGCGGATTTCGGCTTCACCGAGGCGTTTCTCCTGGCGCTCCACGACAGCAGCTTCAGCCCCTACTTCAGCACCTTCCGCTTCAGCTGCCAGCGGCAGCAGGGCCACGGCAGCCCGGTGAGGGGGCCAGGGGGCACTCCCGCATCCCAAACCGGGCAGGGACACCCCCAAAACCTCCCGTTTCACCCCTTCTCCTCCCCGGCACCTCGGTGTCCCCATCCCAAACTGGGCACTGAACCCCCCCTCCCATCTCTCCCCACAGCCCCGGCCCCGCAGCCAGACCTACCGCCCGGTGGGTGGTTGGCAGGACCCCTCGGGGGGGCCCGGGGGGCGCAGGGGGGGCCCCTCCGCCTGCCCCTTCCCCCCGGTCTGGGCCTGGGGGCTGCGTTACAGCTGGGAGCAGCGGGAGCGATTCCGGAACCCCGCGGGACCCTCGGCCCCCGCCGAGCCCCTGACCCCGGATGGGGTGAGTGAGGCTGGGCTGGGGGGTCTGCACCCCTTGTTTGACCCCCATTTTCCCATCCAGCTGGCTTTTCCCTCCATTTATTCACTAATCCCTATTTGCCCCCCCTCCATTTTTTCCCTTCCCAATGGATTCTCCCCCTTTTTTCCTTAATCCATATTTCCTCCTGTTTTCCCTTCCCTCCCTGCTGATTTCCCCTCTCCTTTTTTTTCCCCTAATCCCTATTGCCCACCATTCCTTCCCCCCTGCTGGATTTCCCCCCATTTTCCCTAATCCCTGTTTTCCCCCCTTTCCCAGCCTGGAGCCCCCTGCCCCTGGCAGGGGGCCGGGCCCGTGCTGGCGCTTGCCAAGGGCTCGTTGTGCCCCCACCCCCTGCCCTGGTGGAGCGGTCGCCCCCCCCCCGCGCCCCCCACAGCGGGACCCCCCTCCGGAGAGCCAGGGGGCACGGGGGGGCACCTCGGGGGGCTCCCGGCCCCCCCCGGGGCTGCTCCTGCCCTGCACGGCCGGACCCTGCGTCCGGCTCTGGCACCGCTGCTACCTCAGGGGGCTGCCCCAGGAACAGGTACTGGGATGGTGGAACTGGGGGAGTCCTGCTTCGGATGGAGGGATGGATGGAGGGATGGTCAGGGGGACCCCATGTCCTGCCCCATCCATGTCCCTGTCCCATGTCCCTGTCCACATGTGCCTGTCCTCATGTCCCTGTCCCGTGTCCCTGTCCCATTCCCATGTCCCTGTCCCATTCCCATGTCCCTGTTCCATTCCCATGTCCCTGTCCCATTCCCATGTCCCATTCCCATGTCCCTGTCCTGTGTCCCTGTCCCATTCCCACA